ACTTTGACACTTCAGAACTTCAGCAACTTCGGAACTTCGGCACTTCAGCACTTCGGTACTTCAACACTTCGGAAATTCGGTAATTTCAGACCTTCGGGACCTCGGCAATTTGGCACTTCAGCAATTCGGCACTTCGGCAATTCGGACATTCGTAAGTACCCGGAATTACCCGAATGTCCAAATTGCCCGAAATTCGTCCGAATTCATATTCGGACCGAAACGAATTGCAGATGTCTAATGGCATCTAACATTAGACTTCAAAACAGAACAGAATAACAATTGTATCTGCTCCTTGATGGAAACAATGCTTAAAAGAGCAAAGTACTCAAACTATCTACATCAAACCAAATTCTTTATTTGGCCTCCATTAACACATAAAAGCAACATTAAAAAAGATAACACAAGTCTAACATATTTTCTGACATGTATATTTACTGTTAAAGTGACGGTTTCATAGAAATATACGAAAAATATGTATATTTTTTTTTACTAGGGTAGCACACATAGATACAAAAAAGCTTATGTATATCTCATTAAATTACTCCAAGGTTCCTGTAAAAATTTATAATATTGTTTAAAGTATTGAAAGGTTGCTCCAGCAATATGAAGATAGACAAATTTGATTATAGCTGTACAAAAATTACTTGTACATAATTTTAATATGTATGTATGTATGTATGTATATATATAATTAATGGTAACCTTAACAACTATTTTTAATACACCATACTGCCATACTATTATTCCCCTTAACCCCTTAAGGACTGAGACAAATGTGATTAAAACAAAAACTTGAATTTGCGCTGTCAATTCAGGCATAATTCGCCTCTTTCATGTTATGTGCACCCATACTTATTATATATCATTTTATTCAGGGGAAACAGGGATTTCATTTAACATCAAATATTTAGGTATAAAATATAATTTAATATGAATAAAATATAAAAAAAAATGGGAGAAAATAAAAAATGTTTAGTTCTAAATGACATTCTAACTGTGAATGTTATAATACTGTTTGCTTTAACTGCAATAAAATACAGATATTTGTATTTAGCAATGTCTCACATGTAAAACAGTACCTCCTATGTACAGGTTTTTTGGTGTTTTGGGAAGTTACAGGGTCAAATATAGCATGTTAAATTTTTCAGTTTTTTCACATTGAAATTTGCCAGATTGATTACGTTGCGTTTGAGACCTTATGGTAGCCCAGGAATAAAAATTACCCCCATGATGGCATACCATTTGCAAAAGTAGATAACCCAAGGTACTGCAAATGGGGTATGTCCAGTATTTTTAGTAGCCACTTAGCCACAAACATTGGCCAAAGTTAGTGTTAATATTTGTTTGTGTGTGAAAAATGCAAAAAAACTAATTTGAACGCCAATTTTGGCAAGTGTTTGTGACTAAGTGGCTACTAAAAAAGACTTTTTTTTATTATGTTTATTTATATATATGTATATATATATAGTGATATATACGTATATAATTATGTATATAGATATATATATTATTTCATTCAACATGTATTTTGATATCTATATATATATATATATATATATATATATATTAATTTTAAAATACAGTTAGAACGAATTTACACATATATATTTTTTATTTTTTTATTCTTTTTATAAAATTTTTTAATGTATTTCCATATTTATTTATTTTATATTATATATAAATATATATATAATGAACTTACATTAGTTAAATGCTCCCTGATACTAGATTTTTGAGCTCCAAAATATCTGCAAAATGTATGATTAACTGTGCACCTTCATCTCCTCAAAGTGTAATCGACACCAGTCTTTCGTAGTCACACGAAACAGAAAGTTACACAAAACATCTAATCAATAAACAGCATCAACAAAAAATGTAAACTATTTCCTTAAATTTTGGGAAATGTAGACCTAATTAATTAAATTTGGGTCCAGAGGCTACCACGCAGAGGATGGTAGATTTGGCTCTAGTAAATCAATTTTTTTTTTTTTATTTGACAATTTTTATTGGGTCATGCTGATACACAGGTGGCGTTTAAACAATTTTTTATTTTTTTTTGTTAAACATAGCGTTTCTGCATAAGTATGAGTATTTACTGTTTCACATTATTAATGCATAGTTCGGGATTGTCTGTTCAACTGCTGCAATGCTACCTGACATTTCGTATGCATGTCCCATACGTTTTGAGGAGTAATTATAAAAGGGGGAGAGGAAAGTTGGGTGAAGAAAGAGTGGGTGTAGGGAGTAGGAGGAGAGGGGGTAAAGGAGGTCCGCCTTGCTATTGCTTCTCTTATTCGGATAGGGGTTTGCTCTGAGGTAGTGGTTGAGGACATCTGCCAGGCAACCTCGCATTTGGATCGTTCTTGAGGTTCAGGAGGGCCTTATCTACTTCACTATTCCACGCCTCGGATGTTGATTCCTTCGCTACCCGTCAGCATCGTCAGTACCCTCTTTTCTGTATGTGTCCCAAATGAGTTTTGCTTTGGCTAGTGTGGGTTTGGGGCCGAATTGGTGTTGGTGCATTGTTTCGTATGTCCAGTTAAGTGCAATTTGGTGCAATAAGTGTGTGAATGTTGGTGGCTCCTTAGATTTCCATTGTCTTGCTATCAATATATGTACTTATGTGAGTGAGTGGTACACTAGGGCTTGGTGTGTTTTGTTCATAGTGTCCGGGAACATGTACAGTAGGCATAGTATTGGGTCAGCTTCTATCTGGGTTCCAAGCAAGTCCGACATCATTCCATAGTGGCATGAGCTTGGGACACATCCACCAGATGTGGATCATCGTACCCACTTCTCACTCGCAGCGCCAACACACATTCGTGGCACTGGGCCAAATTTTTTGTATTTTTTCTGGCACCATGTACCATCTATACAAAATTTTCCTTTGTATTTCTAAGTGTTGGGCGCAAGACGTGATGCCTTTTGGGCTGTGCATGCTTTATGCCATTGTGAGGGGTTTAGTACAGTTCCTATTTCTCTATGCCATGCTTCTTTGTAGGATTCTAGGGGCGTTGGTTGGATGTAACATTTGGAGAGAGGTTTTGTAGTGGGCATATGTGTCAGGCAAGCATTTTCAAATTTTGATGTTGGTTCAGTTGCAGCCTTCCTGGGATCTACATGTGGATTGTTTGTTAGTAACGATTTTATCTGGAGGTGTGGGAACATTAGTTTTGTGGGCAATTCAAATTGCTCTTGGAGGCAGGGAAAGGTTTTGATGCTTCCCCCTTCGTAGAGGTGGAGTATATGTTTGATGCCACTGTCTGACCATGGCTTATAATTAAAAGTAGGAATAGACATGCTGATAGATTGTATTGGTGCTGCTAACTGTATTTTGGGATGGCTAGCCAATTTTTCCCTCACCCCGTCCCAGGTTTCTATAAGCAACTGAGTAGTTGGAAGACCTGTAAATGGTTTGGGTCTTCTGGCTTTATCTATCCAAAAAAACGGTTGTATGTGGTCTATATGGAGCCAAAAGGATTCTATCCCTGTCCACTGTGGGCTATAATGTGTGTTGTGTGCAGTTATCATGGTGCTTAGCAGTGCCACCTTGTAGTAGACATATAGGTTTGGGATAACCAACCCTCCTTCTGTGACTGGTCTGTGTAGGATTTTAGCTGCCACTCTGCATTTTTTATGTTGCCAGGTGAACTTCATGAATAGTGACAAAATCAATTTGAGGTAAGTGCTTGGGAGGGGGATTTGTAATGTTCTGAAAAGATACAGTAATTTTGGTAGTAATGACATTTTTAAGGCCGCTATGCATCCTAGCCATGAGAGAAATTTTCCTTCCCATGCTTTCAGTGTATTTTCAAATTCTTTCAGAATTCTGGTGTAATTCTCTTGGAATAGTCCCGCAGGTTTTTTTTTGTTAATTTAATTCCTAGGTATGTTAGGTAATCTAGAGGGAATGCTTCTTTTAGCCTATTCCGTTTCTCCCTCCCCACCCCTATGGTTAGAGCCTGTGTTTTCGTGACATTCAGTTTGTAGTAGGAGTGAAGGCCAAAGAGTTCAATCTGGCGCATTAGATTGGGCATGGTTATGAGTGTCAGGGCGAGTAGGATATCATCCACAAAGATGTTTATTTTGTAGTCCTTGGTGCCCAGGAGGATACCATGTATGTTTGGGTTGGACCTGATTTTAGAGGCCAAGGGTTCCAAAGCTAGGACATAGAGTAGGGGGGAGAGGGGACAACCCTGTCTAGAGCCGTTAGTGACGGATAGTATGCATGATGGGAACCCTGCGTAAAGTACTTGTGCTGTGGGCTTGCTGTAGAGAGCTTCCACCGCTGCTATTAATTGCGCCGGAAAGCTGAATTTTTTTTAAGCAGAGTACTCTGTTGAGGAACATCCAGTTTAATCTGTTGAAGGCCTTCTCCACATCCAAGGACACGAAGAGGCCTCCCTTACCTAATTTATGTGTGCTGTGCATGAGATCCAGTACTTTTCGGGTGTTATCGGAACCTTGTCTCCCCCCCAAAAATCCCACCTGGTCGTCGTGTATGAGTTCTGGTAGTATAGTTTTGAGCCTGTTGGCCTGGAGTTTTGTAAACAGTTTGGCATCCGTGTTGAGCAGGGATATAGGGCGAAAGTTTGGGCATGTGGTTGAAGATTTCCTTGGTTTGGGGAGGGTGGTGATATGTGCCTGCAAGAGTTCTGTAGGCAACAAATGTTTGTCTGTAGCATTATTGAATAGTTGTGTAAGTGTAGGTGATAGGATATCTGCATAAAGATGGTAATACATGTTAGCGAATCCATCTGGGCATGGGGCTTTGCCTGAGGGGAGTGTTTTTATTTTATCCTGAACCTCTTGTTGGGTGATAGGGGCTGACAGGGTGTCCCTATGTGCTTGCGTGAGAGTTAGAAGGGAAGTGTCGCTTAGGTAGTCGACTATAGCTGAGGGTGTTGCGGTGGGTGTGAGTGGGTCAAGGCTTAGGTTGTAGAGAGATTCATAATATATCGCAAATTTGTCACTTATTGCCTTTGGGGCTACTATTTTACCTCCTTGGGACGTTTGTAAATATGCTCTCTTAAAGGCAGCCCGTCTGTCCCTGAGTCTTTGTGCGAGGATCTTGCTTGCCCTGTTTCCTTGGGAGTATTGTGTCGCTTTGAGTTTTCGTAGTGAGTAGCCTACCTTGGTAAGAGCTAAGCATTGTATCTTGTGTTGCACATCAGAGATTTGTTGTTTTAACTCTGGCGATGGGTGGGTTTGGTTTAGTTTGTTTAGGTCATGAAGTTGTTTGTACCAGGTGACCTGTTGGGCATGGGAAGTGTGTTTGAGGAAGTGGGCCCTCTTTAACAGTTCCCCGCGGATGACTGGTTTGTGGGCAAGCCAGGTGGTTTCCACGTGTATCTCGGGTGAGGTGTTCTCCCAAAAGTAGTTTGTGAGTGTATTTTCAATGTGTTGCACAAATGTTTGGTTGTGTAACAGTGTCTCATTTAAGTGCCATGGGCTTCTGTTATAACTGTCAAACTTGTCTTTTAGTTCTAGTGTAATAGGTGCGTAATTTGACCATGTTATTGTTGAAATTGAGCAGTTGAGTACCTGTACCTGAACCTATCTGCGCGAGGGTAGGAGTTATGCACTGCGGAGAAAAATGTAAAGTCTTTCTCCGTGGGGTGGAGGACTCTCCATATAGGTTGTGTTCATCCAGCAGTTTATGATATGTCTTGCATTGGCTTTTGGCTTGCGTTTGGCTCTGTGTGTTCGTTCCCTTGGATGAGTCAGTTGCTTATTCCCTTTTGGATTGGTTCTAGTTTAGCCAGAATTCTGTGTAGGAAATTGTGTTGTTCTGAGTTGGGCACATATAGATTTGCTGTTGTGTAGGTGATGTCGTTGATGATGCAGATTAGTAGGATATAGCGGCCTTCCTCATTTACGACTAGGTCATGTTTTGTGAATGCTACTCAGTTGCTTATCAACACAGAGAACCCTTTCGTTTTAGATTTGGCGGTAGCATGAAATTGGTGTGGGTAAGTGAGGGGTTTTAGGCTGGGCGGTTTAGCCCTGGAAAAAAATCTATGCCAGCCCCATAAGTCATTGTGCTATGTAGTGTGTTTTATATATATATATATATATATATATATACATATATATATACATATATATATATATATGTATATATATACATATAAATATATACACACATATCTCTCTCTCTCTCTCTGTCTATATATATATTATTGGTATATTTCTTTTTCTAATTCAAAATATTAGTCCTTTCAGGGTAATTAAATCATACAGTAAAGCATACTCACATGCAGACAATCTTACTGATGCACACAAATAGGCTCATTGACAGACAATCTCAATGACACACAGATAAGGTTACTGGTACACACACAAATTTAGTACAGACAAACTCTGATATACACACAAGCTTACTACAGACAAGCTCACTGATGTGCACACACTCTCCCTACAGACAAGTCAATTGACACAGACATGCTCCCTACAGAAGAGCTCACTAACACACAGATTCACTACAGACAAGCTCACTGACACACACATGCTCACTACAGACAAGCTCACTGACACACATATGGTCACTACAGACAAGCTCACGATCACACACATGCTTACTACAGACAAGCTCACTGCACACACACAGGGCCGGCCTTAGGTGTTTAGGCACCCTGTGCGAACCAATCTTGTGGCGCCCTCCCCCCCTCACCTTCCCACCGGTCACCTAGACATACACAAAGAGGAAAAAACCTTTGTAAGAAATAATTTGTTTTAATTACAGATAGTTTAAGTGCAAGTGCAGACAATTACAATAATAAATAACTGGATGGGCTGGTAACAATAATGTACATTGAGGGGACACTATATTGATCAAAACAATGTTATCCTAAAGAAGCAGTTTAGGTGTATAGAGCATGTCACTGCTATGTCACTGCTCAATTCTCTGCTATTTAAGTGTTAAATCATGTATACCCTCTCCTTCATTTCTTCACCCCACTTCTCTGGCCCCCTCTAGACAATTTCAGGCACACAATCTGCCTCCTCCACCCCCTTCTACAAACCCTGCCCCCTTCACCAAAACCCTGCCTCCATTCACTTAACCCCTGCCCTCTTCACCAAAACACCTGGCTATCCCTTCATCAATGCCCTGGCCCCCTACATCAATCCTCTGTACCCCTTTGTCAGACCTTGACACCCTTCATCAATCCCCTGCCCCCTTCATCAATCCCCTGGACCCCCTTACCAGTCCCCTGCCCCCATTCACCAATCCTCTGCACCCCTCATTAATGCTCTGCCCTCCTTCACCAGTCCCCTTCCCCCTTCACAAGTCCCCTGCCCCCCCTTACTAGTCCCCTGCCCCCATTCACCAATCCTCTGCCCCCTTCACCAATCCCCTGCCCTCCTTTACCATTCCCCTGTTTTGTTTTGCGCCAGTTGCTCAGTGAAGAAGCCAGACTTGTCCCCCCGGTCGGTCTGTTTCTTGCCCTTTTGCTGCACCATATCAGGAGGTGAGTGGAAGGGGATTTTTGGCTGGTAATGCTTGGTTTAGTCGCTGAAAGGGCTAATCTCGGAGCGGAGCGCTAGTGCAGTGCGACCATCCGCTTTGGCTTCCTGGTCACACCCCTGGCTCTAGTAAATCTTTGAATTGTCAATGTGGCACATTTTGGTCCAGGCCTCGTGCTGACTGGGGCTTCACAGCCATCCAACTCACCTTAAGGCACACTGATGCATCGGGTCCTCGTTCCGTGTCCGAGGGCCCAAAACAGAGAGCGGGCCCAGCTGCTAGCCCTATATGCCATCGGGGGCGGGGTCTTTCTGTTTAGTCAGCCTACAGAGTGAGAAAGGCCATCGCCTCTGGTCTGGAGTTACACTGGGTACCAAGCTGCAGGCCATATGTCAAATGAACTGTATAGGCAAAAAAATGCACATTGTTTTTACCTCCAAACAGTAAACTTACTGTCCCTAAATGCTTTTTTCCCTAAATAGTGTAAAATTTGGCTTTCGAAGTACCTGTTTTAATCTTTACTTTAATCAGAATTTCTTCTCCTCATGTGACTGCATGTCATATCTCCCTGCTTCCTGTATTTCAGCAAGACTGTCCAGCAATGGCCATGCTCCAGTGATTCTTTATGACACGCCCACAATGCCTGCCCAAGAAGTACTTAAAAGACCACTATAGTGCCTGGAAAACAAACTCGTTTTTCTGGCACTATAGTGCCCTGAGGGTGCCCCCACCCTCAGGGTCCCACTCCCGTCGGGCTGAAGGGGGAGGAAAGGGGTTAAACACTCACCTTTCTCCAGCGTCAGGCTCCCTCGGCGCTGGGGACTCTCCTCCTCCTTTGGTCGTCATCGGCTGAATGCGCATTCAGCCAGTCCCTAGGAAAGCATTCTCAATGCTTTCCTATGGACGCTGGCATCTTCTCACTGTGAAAGTCACAGTGAAAAGCGCAGAAGCACCTCTAGCGGCTGTCAATGCAACAGCCACTAGAGGCTGGATTAGCCCTATTGTAAACATAGCAGTTTCTCTGAAACTGCTATGTTTACAGCAGGCAGGGTTAATCCTAGATGGACCTGGCACCCAGACCACTTCATTAAGCTGAAGTGGTCTGGGTGCCAATAGTGGTCCTTTAACCTAAGTTACACTACAAATACAGCATTCAGACACTAGAACTTACATACCACATCACACATACATCTTTCCTCACCACATTAGGTATCATATAGTGTAAAAAGTTTATTATAAATAAATATAAAGAGACAGACAAACTGATTTGTATCTATAGAGCTTTGTTTTATCTCTCACTCTCTCTCTAACGCTATATATCTACATATCTATCTATATCTTTCTATCTACAGTGGCTAGTGAAGTTGGCTGACAAAAACTAGCAGAGAAGGTGTTAACTCTGGATAGGGAGGTTGGCTTGGAGGGAAGCAGTTAACACTGGGTAGTGAGGTTGGCTGGGAGGGAAGGGGTTAACACTGGGTAGGGAGGTTGGCTGACAGGACCTGGAGGAAAATTAATTACACTTGCATTACAGGGAGGAGGGAGACTGGGAGAGGAACACATGTGGGTTGTAGTGCACTCTGTGCTGGGAGAATTCCTTACACTAGATAAGACATGCCTCTATTTTCATTGGCTGCAAAAGGTACGTTTCTTTCAAAGACTGTGAATCAGGAACATGTTACAATGTGATATGGAGGCTGATGAGGCTGGGTTACACTGCTGAAAACAGCAAAACATTTTACAGCACTGCAGGAAAACTACACAGAAGTGAAAGAAAATAAACTAACAAGGTATTTCAGCTTGTTAGCTTTAATTTAAGATTACCTTGTTTAGCTGCCTGGAGGGTCCCTTTAAGTGTATTTCTATCTCAGAGGCAATGCTCTGAGATTTACAAGACACCTATCAGATGGTCTGCAGCTCTGCACCAGGTGGAGCTTCAAACCAGAGAGTAGACCACTGGATCACCAGGGAAGGAGACCATCGAACACCAGGGACTAATTTAATGCAGAAAATAAAGGCATCTCAATGTGGGGAGGCTGGTCACTAAAGTGCAACCTCCCTACACACTGCCCTCCCACACTGTCACCCTCTCACACAGCTTGTCACCCCTCCACACACGGACACCCCACACTGTCTACCTTCGCACAAAATGTAAGAGTTTGGGCATACAGATAATTAAAATCCTAGGGAACGTATAGGTAACATATGTGCGGAAGAAGAAATGACACCTATAACAAAACGTTTGTTGTCCTGTAATAACTGTGGTTTGAGCTTTTGTTAAGTTTCAAGGAATACAATATTTTGACTTTAAATGGTAGTGAAGCAAAGAGTTACAGGAAAATCAACCATACCACTATGATAACAAACTTTTAGGTTTGCAGTAAATGGTAAAACCAAGCAGAAAATGTCAGCTATTAGTAAAAATATCTTATTTCAGCTGCCAACATTTCTATTTAATCAGAAAAATATAAATAGTTTGATATTTTTTATTTAATGTATTTACTAAGTTGCTTAGGCTACTGAGTGTAAACGGCCACGTCGAATTTATCAGATTTTCCTTACGAAAAGTTGGGATAACTTTTTTTTTTCAATGAAGCAGCTCGTAATTAGACATATTGGTGAACATGCCAATCTTTCCTAACTTGCAAATATTTAAACAGACACATTTCATTTGAAAATGATCTGTATATCAATGCATGGTGGCGAAATTCACATTTATTAACCTGTGTAATGCCAAAGGACTGTAATGTATGACACTGTACTATGTTGCATACTCCTCTGACAAGAAAGGATTTAACTAAGTAATAAACAATAGGGTTAGTCTGAAACCACATTTTCCGTCTAATTTGCAGTATAGTTGCATTCAGCCTACAGTGAATTTTTCAGAGCATGCTCAAAAGAACATAATGAATAGGCCCATTGTACAACCAATATGTGTTTGATATGCTAAAGAATTGACAACAAAGGGAAAGCAGGACAAAGTTTGATTAAATATGCCCAGGTGAGAGAGAGGCACCA